GGGGGGGGGGGGGGGGAGGGGGAAGGAGGAGGGTGATGGGAAAAGGAAAGGCAGCAAAAAGAAAGTCAAGGCAAGACTGGGAATGCCCTGCACATGGTAACTGCATCTGGCTGTTCCTAGCAGATGAACTTTTCTTGCAGCTAGAGATGGGAAACAAGGGTTTTGAAGAGGTCATGTAGGTCAATACCACTGAGCCTAGTATCTTTCCAAATAGGAACAGGTTTCCATGTGCTTTAAATTTAGACCAGAGACAGGTTAGGGGAACAGTAGCAAACCCAACAGCCAACTTCTCTGTGGCTGGTTTGCGGGCAATCAAGCCTGTTGAGAGCAACGTATGTGTTTGGTTTAAATTAGAGATGATTTCTGCTGGAACATGCCTGTGATCTACAACACATACTGCATGCTGAGAGAGCTCCTGAACCTCAGCCAGCACAAAAAAACAACACACCCAGCGCACAACCCACCAGGCTGGCAGCAGCACCACACACCAAAGCTGCACTCTGGCAACCTGATTGCAAAGACCAGAAGTTTTACACCTGGATTGAGAGAACAAGACCACCCAGCACTTCAAGTTAAATGAGCTGATCTAGGAAGTGAAGGGGTTAATTCCTCCTAAGCTCTCACACAGCTCAAATTCCTTAGATGATCTGCTTCCACCAAATCCAGAGATCTAGCCACAGGGGAGGAAAACACTGTAAGGAAAAGTTGTTTTGGTAGAGTCTTCCTCTCAAGAGAGATTCCTTTAGGGCCAGCTTTTCCAGAAGTGGTTGGTGCCCAGAGCTCTCATGCACTGCAGTAGGAGGAAGGGTCATTGAACTACACTGGAAAGTCAGGTCTTGGTGCTGTGTTTAAGCATTGCTCACACTCACACGAAGAGAACAGACTTAAATGATTCACCTTCTCCTAGAATTTGCAATCACAAAACTTTATTGTGTCTTGGTCTCTACGCTAATATCAAAACAAAACAAAAAAACCCAAAACAGGTTTTGGAAATTGAGGGCTGCCTTCACATACGGAAGCAGTAGGAAAACAAGTCCAGGGCTGTTTTGGAATTTGTGTTTGCACAGCGCTAGGTGATAATCAATGTGCATAGTTGGCAACAATGCAGATTTTGATTAGCAGTTCAGAGAAGGAATTGGGGACAGTCGCTGCTTGGAGTAGTCAAGAGAAAAAAAACCAAGCTAACCCACAGAGGGGAATGGGTTCCACAAAAAAACAAAGATGAGTTTAGATTGGTCAGTGTGACCAATCACATTATTACTGCAGTCCTTGACCCACCGCTTTTACTATTTTCTTTAAACCTAGGAGATACAATGGCAGCCGAACAAGAAAAACAAAAGTTGTGGCTTTGAAACTAACACCTTTGATTCCCAGGCAGCAGTTTACCATGCAAAATAAATTTGCAATGCAAAGCCAGCTACTTCAACCCTTACCAAGGACAGTAACTCAAAAACAAAACAGGGAGAGCAAAGTGGAGCAGGGTTCACTTGTTCAGTTTAGACGCAATTTTCTGAAGAGTTAAGTTTCTAATTAGGCAAAAGTGCAATGCAGCTCTTTCTTACACATGTCCTTCATGCAAGCTCGGGGGAGAAGCATGGAGGATTCTGTGATCCCAAATGTCCACCAAAAGATCCCAATGTCTTTCAGAAGAGTCGCCACCAAGTCTCCAAGAATTCAATCCAATACTGATCGGAGGCCACACACACACAGCTGGCCAACAGTAAACAGGCCCTCCAGGCTATTCTCTTCCCAAATGGGGGTGGGGGGAGAAACACCCTGTGGGGCCCTATGCCAGGAATATTAAAGAAATGCAAAAATCTAGAACTCTTGGGGGTTTTTTGCATTTCTTTTTGGTCTCAGAACAACACGGCGACCAAATACAGGACTATAAAGTCACATGAAAGCAGCAGGCAAGCACTAGCCCACACTAAAACACCTCTAATCCAACCAACACAGGAAGACTGAAACATGAGGCTGGTGAGAAGAACAAGTAGGAGAAGGTCCTTACCTAGAAGACAAGCTAACAAAGTCCCCTCCATCCAGCAGCCTGATTTTGCAGAAGAGAACCCCATTTACAAAGGGGACAGCAGTCAGCTCCTCCAGGGTGAAACTGGTCTGAAATTTAAATTTCTTTTTCTTTATCAGGAAAGCCATGGGCAGGCTCAGCGGGAGAAGCCCAGGGACTTACAACAACGGTCAGGAGCCGCTCAAGTCACACACAGATGCACAAAAAAATTGCCACTGTTTCAGGAGTAGAAGCAGGGGGTTAATTTCAGTTTAATGATTGCTCGGCTTCAAAGTAGGATGCTCTTCTCTCGCTGGTGGTCGGATCTGGCTGTGGGATCATTGCCACGACAGGCTTCAGGTGAGGAGGAAGAGCACAGATCAAGCCTCTGGAACATCTCCAAGAAAAGAGGGAGGGAGAAATAGCTAAGCTCCAGACCAGCAGGAGCTTTTCTAGCCACAGCAATCTGGATTAGAGGCTGGGGGGGTCTGTGTGCATCAGAGCCTGTCCAGAAAGCATGTCCGATAGGAAGTCATCCCGTGCCAGGTCTCTGCAGAAATCTTAAGTCTGCGGGCAGCACATTGGACCTGGAAAGCCCGAGTCTCCTCTCCTCCCCGGGCCTCACACAGGTGCCTGCGATTTGTGCTACGGCTCCCACAGGTTTGTGTCAGCCCTGGGAGAGAAAGGAGTACGTTAGTTCCAGCCAGTCTTGAGCTCCCCCCACTCAAAAAAACCCTGTTTCCATGGATAAAATTCAGCCCAGACTCATCCCAATCTGAGGAGAAATCCAGTCATCTCAGCCCAAATAGCCTCTTCCCCCTTTCTAGCTACAGCAGTCCGTACTGCCCCAGGCCTGCGCACTCGCTCGCTCTCTCTATTTGGGGATGTTTAACAACAATTAGCTCGTCTGTGACTATTTCTCTCCAGAGATCACAAAGCAGTTTACAAAGGAAAACAAGTAGGAGAGCAGCTGCGATGAGGAAAAAAAAAATGGAGAGAAAAAAAAAAATCAGAGCAGGCTGGGAAGTTTCTAACCAGGAGGGATTTGCAAATAATCTCTCGTTTTTAATCCACCCTAACCATCCTCCTCTTTCACCTGGCAGCACCTGCAGAGGGGCCCCAGGACCGCAGCTGGGGGGCTCTGCCCCAGCGTCAGGGCTGCACCAGGGGGGTTTCTGGCCTGCCCGACCCGCGGGCAGGGCCCGGGCACTCTGCCCCGCAGCACGGGACACCGCCGCTGCCGTCCACAGCAGCCTCTGCCACTGCTACGCCAAATGCGGCCGCTACGCTACCAGCGCAGGCAGCGGCCGAGCAGAGCGGACCCGCCGCGCTTCGGGAATACGAAACCCGAGACAACATTCCTTCCCGCGAGGAGGGGGAAGCGGCGGCGCTACCAGATTGGCCAGCTCTAAGGGGAGGGAACGCCCGAGCCCGGGCTCCGATTGGCTACTGCCGCGAGCCCGCAGAGTGGCGCTGCGGGCTCAGTGATTGGAGGAGGCACTTGTCAGTCTGATGAAAGGCCAGCCTCTTACGCCGGAGAGGAGGAGGGGGTCCAGGTAGTAGCTTCTGACTTCCAGACCGTGCAGAGGCTTGAGGGCAGTAAGGTGCCTGAGCGCCTTTCACTGCTCTCCGTGGGGTGCTTGCACTGCCCCTGCCAGCTTCTCTGGCTGCAGGCTCTGGAGTTTTAAAGCAAACCTTGGGCTCTCTCCTGGTCACGGGACTCCAGGAGCTGGGGCTTCCTAAGAAGCAGCACAGCTAATGTGGGCCCTGCTGATGCCAGTATACCAATAAGGCTTGGGCTTAGTCCATAACAGCTGCCAAGACCTTTGCAGTCATTAATTCATGCCTCCGATCCAAGCAGCCTACTGGTCTGAATTTGAGAAGCTCCCTAGATGTGCCCTGGCTTGGACCCTGCGAGCGAGTCCTGTCTCTGTTTGTACTGGCGTTGTGGTAGAGCCAGGACCCCCTTACCAAGGCGCGTGGGACCAGGACTCGGCCCCTGCCTCCTGGGGGCAGCCCTATTTGACCTTCTTAGAGTCAGGGACATGTTTAAGGGGCTTGTTGAATGAGGGTCACACTCTGCGTGGTACAGAAGGAGAAACTGAGGTTCAGCCAGGGTAGGCAGCTTGCCCAAGGTCAGGTAGTAAGCTTGGCAGGGCCTGGATAGGAGCCAGGGAGTCTCCTGTTGCCAAGCTAAGGTGTCTAGACTGCCATTAACCCCAATCGCTGGCGGTGACTACAAAAGCTACCAATTTATTTTCCCCCTCTATGAATCCTTGTTACTGCAACTGAAAAAACACAGGGAAATGTATTGAGCTCCGATGATACTGTGGGGTCTGATTAGAGTCAAACGCGTTGCCATGGGGGACCTTGCTCACATGCTGAGGGTAGAGCTAGTCTTGGGCTGAAATCATTTTTTTTCCTTCTAGCCCTTGACAGGCCCCAGCCAGGGGAGGGGTGTGGAGGGATTAGTCCTCTGGCATTGGGGGGTGGGGGGTACCCTTCTCAGATTTAGGGGGTGTTTTATCTCCCTTTGAACTGATGTCTTGCATTTGCATGGCCATCAGCTGTTGATAGATCTTGGCCCTTTCCTGACCCTTCTCTGTATATAATAGAGATGCTGTGGCAAGGAATTAGGGTCTGCTGGATGTTTAACATCTGCAGAGCTGAGAAGGAGGAATTTTAGAAATATTTCAAGGTGGAAAAAAACCAACCTCAAACCCTGACACATTCTGCTTCTCCTCCCCAAGTCTTTAGTAACATCCATGGCCAGCCCTCTGGTGCTTAACTTCTGTCATTGGAGAAAAGACTAATGGGCGCTTTATCAATGCGCTTTATCAAAGTGGGAGGCAGGTGAGGGATATCTTGTGAGTCATACGAATAATAAATCTCCCTTTGGTACTTCTTGTTGTTTATAGCAACAGAGCTGGATGTTCAAGTTAACAGAGATTTTAAGCTGTTCTCACGCATATTTACTCTGTAGCTTTGTCAGAAAGATCTCTTGAAAGCCTCAATGTTTGCTTTGTAATTAATTGAATAATGTGACTGCTGTTAAAAATAAACTAACTTGGAAAAATGCCCAGAGAGCTGCTGAACAGCCTGGATTCTCCAGGGGGTGTATATGAGTGTCTGTGTGCACATATATTTATATATATTTCCCTAACATAGGCAGTTTCATGAAAATGGGATTAAAATCCTGGGCCATAAATTCTTTATTATTCTGAAATTCACTGTGTTGCTATTTCTGTGTATTCACCATGCCTTTGTGACTGCATACATTTGAAAAGCAAGATAATTAGGGAAATATGACTTAATATCTGCTGGCGAGAGAGAAGGTAGAACCGCTCTGTGTGTGTTAGAGTTCCATGAAGCTATTATGTAGGAAACAGAACTAGACGTAGATGACATCTCTGAGTACTTAGCTCTTCCAGCGACAGATGCAGAATACTACTTTCCAGTTTCCTACAGGTAAGGAGCAGCATAGTTACTTCCTCCCATCCTCAGCTTAGCTAGCTCCATTTCATCTGTTGATCCAGGTACTCACCTTGGACTAAATGTATGAATAGCAAGAAATCCATTTAAATGGATGGAGTTATTCTGGAGATGCAATTGACCCATGTAATCAGATCCTCAGGTCTGCCTATGCCATTCTGAGCTCAGGACCAAAAAAGGGTGGGTGGATACATAGGAGGCTTTTTTCCTGGATGGATATACAGCAAGAGTCTGGAAAGCATAAAGCATTCTGGGATATTTCTGGTCCTATCACTTAGGTTGCAGGGTTTCCAAAATAGAAGATCACCAAACGTTGTCAGATAAATCACCGGTTTCCTCCTCTGGAAAATATCTTTGGATTAATATATTTGGACTAGCAGCCAAACACGGAAGCTTTGGAAACCAAATGATATACAGTCATTATAACAATGTAAGCAATGGATCTGTTACATTACCGTTTATGACTACAGCTCTAATAGCTTTAATGAGCTTTCAGTGTTATTATACAAAGACCATAATGTTATCACAATATGTATTATGCTGCACAAATGTGTTCTTCAGGTTGCTGTCTACTGTATACCTGCTGTGCATCTGCTTGGTGCGTGGGTGAGGGAGGTACCCATAGTGCTGCCATGCTTAGAGAGAGATCTCTGTGCATTGACTTGGGATAGTTGTGCCTCCAGAGCAAGATGATTAAGGAGGTATGTTGTGCAAGTAACTTTACGACACCAGTGATAATTCTCCAGTGCAGACAAGGGCCCCTAGACCTGTTACTCCAGAGAGACACTCCATTTATAGTAGGCAGGAGCTGGCGGGCTGCTGAAATAAAATGCATGTCTATCCCCATTAGGTAGGATTATCTGATGATATGGAGTTAGTCTAAGCTTGTATCTTCTCAGCTTAACTCAGTAACAGCCTGTGAGCTCCTTTCTGATCCGCTTGTGTTTTTATGAGCTCCATACGTTAATAGTGCTTATGATGATCAAGGGCCATGAACTGATTTCACACTTACCGTGCCAGGAAACAGTTAGATTTGGGGAATGCAGTGGACACGCCAGCACAGTGTGCTCCCAGCTCCAAGGGACATGCAACAGTGTGATTCCAGAGCAACCGAGCACAGGGGGCTGGACTGGTTGGATTCCTTTCCTCAAGCAAACAAACTCAACTCTCCTGCAGCCTTATCTTTCCTATTTACTGGTCTGCATGTCTTCCCTGTCTCCTTCGGGATGTTAAGTACCTAGTCAGGCTCTCCTGGAAGGCTTCTCAGCAGAAAAGAACGGAGTTGTTTCTCCTTGTAACTCCAGTCTGCACTGGTGCAAATTGCTATGCGGGGATGCTGGTTCAGTAGCTTTCCTGTTCTGGAGGCACCAGGCCCAGCCCCAGTGCTCTCAGGGGTTTGTACCCATCCTGCAGTTCCTGGTGCTGCTTTCTAAAGACTCAGACCAGCAGGTGCCTCCTGTCAGTGGCATGCCACACCTGTATGCATTTGCCCATGTGTTTTTGTCCCCATGGGTGCTGTGAATAGTTATATATTGCTCGAGGAGCCACGCATGTGCTGCAAGGGGCAGTAGCTCCATCCTGTACTTGCATTGAAGATGCTGGGGCAGAGCCCTCAGCTGACAGCTGTCCACTTCCACTTCAAAGTCCCTGCCAGGCCATCTCTGTGCCTGTCTGTCCCTGAGGAGGCAAGGAACTGGTGGTTTAGTAGTTATTCTTTCAATGTTGTTGCATAGTTTCTCTCTTTTGATTTCTTTAACAGTGGAGATTTTGGCTGTCCTGCTTTCTTCTTTCTGTCCCCCCTTAGGAGGCTGAGACGGGGGCTTTATGATGCCATTGCTTCCAGTGCAGGGTCCTTCCAAAAGCAAGAAAGTAATGGGGAAATTTAAGTTGATGAGATTTGATGCTGATCTACTGACTACTTCAACCTTGGCCACATCCCTCTCTTGTTCTTGGTGACAGACCTACCTCCCAGCCAGGCCTGTTAAGTCACCTGATAGCCCAATCAATGTTAAGCTCTGCCATCTCCCTCATAATCAGAGGAGAGTTTAAGAAAAACATTGTTTTAGGGGCCAGTCACCAGGTCTGGCTGTAAAAGGGGGAAAGGAGCCTTGTTTATTAAGAGTGCTTAGAGGAAAGAGATTTGCAGACAGGTAAGCGGAAGGCCTGCATGTCCTACCCACAGCTCTGATCTATGAGCCCCACTTGCTGGGATTCTGGACCAGGGCTGGAACTACCTGCATGGATCACCTTGCAGGACTGGGACTCGCATGGCCAAGAGTGCAACAGGTTATGGATGAAAGACCCTTCACTGCACTCTCATGTGGTTACCAGCTGTGAAACACAGCATAGGAGCAACAGCAGATCTCTGGGAAAACTGCCTATGACTTGGAGGAGTGTCCAAGAAGAGTGGAGGGGTGAAATGCTGTGACATTCCTGGCCAAACCCAGACCTGGTCTAACATCACTCGAGTCAGGGATGAACTTGGCCAATAGATTTGACAGTTAAGCATAAAACATATGCTGTTGGGAGGCAGGGAATTTAATCAGATATTCAATAATGGTCGTGCTATGCCTGCCTTATCACTTTGCCAATTATAAGCAACTGGAACCATAAGGTAAGTGTTACATGCAAACCAGGCAAGTGGGATGGTCAGGCCTATTTATGGACTGTGCTTGTCCCTTTGCTTGTCAATAGCAAATTTCTTTGCTAGAAATATTGCATGTGCCCAAAAAGAGAGTTCCAAACATTCAGGCCTTTTGCCTTTCTGGTTTTGCTGGCAGGGATGGGGAGCCCTGCTTGCATTTCCAAGCTTTCTGCCTTTTGTTCTGTCACAGGCGCTTTTTTTCCCTGACTCTAAATATACAAGTTAAATGTCTGTAGCTGAACTAAGATCTTGGTGCTGCCCATCAGGCTACAGGCTTCACTGCTGCAGTTGTCCCCCTTCTGGTATGCAGTGCCATCTATTGGATAGAAGTGAAACGAATTCTGTCTGCCCCCAGCTGGCTGAACACCTATTTATTTGCCCAGGGGGTGAATTGGGATGTTGAAAGCAATTTGGCAACTCTAGTTAATGGCCTGTGACAGACCAGAGATCATATCTAGGTTTATCTCCTGAGCCTTCAACTCTAGAAGTGTGTGCTAAATCTAACTGGCAAACTTGTGAACCCAGTGGCATGTAGCATATAGCTTTAGGGGCTTGTATGATGTAAACTCTCAGATCACGTGTGCTACGTTCTTTCCCATCTGCTGAGTCCTGTTGTAGAAAATCATCTCTGTCTAGTGCCCTCAGTTCAGTCAGCTGGCTACCAAAAAACCAAAAGGCTCAGAGCACATGGGCTACTTTCCTCTGCCTCTGTTGTCTCCATTGGGCACTAGCTTTGTACTGTTACACCCCCAAGAAGGAGGTTGGGGTTCCCTGTTTGGCCACTTCCTTTTTATGCTCTGGTTCCTTTAATGAGTGTTAATTTGTGCATACTATTAACATACTAATTAGCACTTACTTGAACCCCCCACCATGACAGAAAAAGGGGAGGAGATTCCCAGTGCAAGGGATTCAATTGTAAGAAGTAACAACACCCTTTCTATGATGAGTTACTAGGGATACACACAGAGTGGAGCGCAGTAGAGATCCCAGCTAGCGTTATAGCTGTGGTAGCCAGGAGTGCCACTAGGAGCAGGGTATCACTACACCTCTTCCATCCACAATGCACTCATGCCAAGTGAAACAAAGCCAATAGCTGCAGTCACTGCAGGAGTTAATGCTGTGGTTTAATTGTAAAGCTTTATAAAGGCCAGCACATAGTTCTCTATTATTTCAGGTTGTTACAGCTCATCCAGATCATGGCGGATGAGTACAGCATACTACTCAGGGGCTCCAATTGTGTGGCATACACAGCATAGTTACCAGAACTGCAAGATAAGGTTGTAGAGATGATTGATATTTGAGCAACAGAATGTGATCATATCACCAAAGATTATATTCTAAAGCTTGTGCCAAAGGAGAAGAGTTAAAAGTGCACCTGCTTTCAGCAACCTCAGCTAGCATTTCCTGATTTCTGAACACTTTGCAAGTTGTAGGTGTGGCACTTGTATGTGGTTTATTCTGTGGAGGGAACCCCCCCCCCCATAAACGGAAAGAGCCTATTTACCAAAATGTGTATTTTTTTATTAAAATTACTATTTATGGAGACCATTCTTTTTACAGATGAGGTAAAACCAAATCCATTGCAATTTGCTTTAATTATAAACTTCAATTAAAGAAGTGATTCGCTTCCACCAGGTTTGAATCTGCCTGGAGAAGTGTACTCCTGTGGTTAGGTTAGATGCTGAACATGGTGGGAAGCCATTACTGTTGCTGTCCTGACTCGGCACAGAGATGAGGGTGGATAGCTCATATCTTCCACAAGCCAAAACCTTCAGTGGATGCTGTTTGTTCTCTCTCGCTCAGTGACTCAAGACACACAGAAGAGGGTGTGCTGAGTTCTAGCACAATTATAAAATACAGCAGTATCCTATGGACTGCTCTTGCCAAGGTCCCCATCATAAAACATTCAGGGGTCTATAATTAGATTGTCCAGATTTGTTCCTTCACAAATTCCAAATCTACAACCAGTTTTGCCTCAGCATTAGAAATTCCATTTCAATAGTGATGTCTGGCGAGTGATTAATCCATAATTTTGGCTCTGGTTCTGCAGTGGGGTAAGGTTGGGAGGGAGGAAAAATTTGAGAATGAAGTTATTAAAAAAAAAAAAATCAGTTTCTGTGCAAGTACAGGCGAGCTTTTCAACAAGCAATAAGCTTATTTAGATCATGAAGTTAGTGTGTATCTATGACAACCACATTCACACCTATCGATTGACATTTCATGGAATTAAGCACTTTTACTTGGGTTTACATGAAACCAGTTTGTAAATGAGGCAGTATATGCTGGGTAGTGGACAAGCATTTTTCCCAGTATAGTCTTAAAAAAAAAAACTTTCAGGGCAAAAATCCCACAGTCCTCAGTCCAAATGCCTGCTAAAGTCAACTGGCATACTGATGGAGTAAGGACTGCAGGATTCTTTCCAGTTCTTTAAAAATACAAAACAAGTTTAAAACTGCAGAAAAGGGGAGGGTGGGGAAAGAACCCTGCCCCAATCCATACAGTTAACTACTGAATCACTGAAACCCATGCTTGCCAAAATTTCAGCATTACCGCTCTGCTGAAACCCTATCTTTAGCTCAGCTTGCTGCAATATTGGACTGTAGAGGTTCCAAACTAAGCGGCAGTACCAGGCACCTGGGTGACAAAGAGATGGAGTTCTGGCTGTAACTCACCCAAATAAAATTCATATCTCCTCATGCCCTCAAGTTCTACCCCAGACATTTAACACTGTTTCCAATGCATTTTCCAGGATGGTAACTTAAACATAGACAAAGATGCCTCTCCCAGCCCCATGTGTGCAAAAGGCTGGCACCGTTTAACCCTATTTTGAGGGCTGCAGCAGGACATGTGCAGAATTTGGGTTGTGCAGAGGCCTTGTGCTGGTCTTCTGCACAGGAGCGAATTCCACCCTTGAAGAGCAGTATCCACAACATCCCAGCACAGATGCATGCCTGCACTACCTCAGATATATATATATTTTTTTACTTAAAAGTGTCCAGCAAAAGACAGGAATGCATTAGCTCCCCTGTACTGCAGCACGGGATCTGGGTTCTTTCAGCAACAGGATGCGAATCCAAGCCCCTCACCGTGTTAGGAGTCGACTAGAAGCTGCAAGCCCTGGGTGAGAGGTCTCCTTTTTTTAAGATCAGCCTTCACATAGACATAAAAAAAATAATTGTCTTTTTATAAATCTAGATTTTTTAAAGGAACCAAACCCACCAACATTATGTTCCAAGTTCATCGCACATCCTGGCTTCCACTCTGGATGGTAAGTCCATCAAGGCTCAACGCAGAGAAGGAAGCTGTCCAGGAACAGTTTTCTACTCCAGAGGGCTAGAGCTGAACCACTCCACTGTGACAAGAGTGGATCTCTCTCTGTCCCCTTGTGTCCTACAGCAGCAAAGACAGGTTTTTTGAGAAAAACAGCCAGCCCTTCCTTCATTGGATGATACCATCTTGTTGCCCATTTTGGGCCACCTGGCTTGGGTCAGAAGTCACTGAGGGATTGGGCGTATTGCTCTGCAGGAATCGACGGAAGTCCTTGATCATGGGGCGCAGGACCTGGATGAGAGCGCTCAGAGCAGCCTGCGTCCCCTCCATGGCCTGCGCCTGCCGCTCCTGTGCACAGGCCTGCACCTCCTGGGAGCGGCGGATCATCTGCAGAAGGTCATTCTGCTGCTCCAGGTGCTGGGCAATCTCCTTCACGTGCAGATTGGTCACCCGCTGCTCCTGCAAGAGCTTGGCTGAATTTAAGGCAATTCTGCTTTTCAGCTCCTGGGGCTTGGCAGACACCTCAGGTTGATGTGCCATCATCTCCAAGGGAGCTTCAGCAGTAACTGTGGTGGGAGCCTCTGTGGTGCAGTACTCCACGACCCCATCATCCAGACTGTGATAAGTTGTCTCTGTGGGGACTAGAAACAAAGGGAAAAAAGGTCAGAGGCTGCAACACCTTATGTGAAGTGTTTCACCATTTTTCAGCCCTGCCTTGTTCAAGAGGACCTCTCCAAGGAATATTAACTAAAGGACACAAGGGACTCACAAGAGATTGAACAGCACTGGTCAGAAAGTCTTGACTGCTCAGATTTCCCCTGGAACATCTCCAGAGACCCAAACACCTATTTTTACTTGTATCACTGGAGGTGGTAATGGAAGAAGAGCTTGGACTGGACTAAAAAAAGAAGTCTTAAATCTATTAATCTCAGGCTCAGAAGGACAAAATAGCTTTTATTCATTCACCTTTATGTCTGTACAGCTGTGTGTGCCTGTGAACATCTAAACACTGTAAGTTATAAATAGTCTCCCATTTTGCTGCACTCTGTCCATTGGTCTTACAACCAGAATATAAATCAGCAGCCACTTGATGAGAAGGAACATGTAAAATGAGAACTGCATAGGTCAAGAGAGATCTCTGCCATTAGGTTTTATTTTGGGTTGAAAAAAGCTCACTGTTCAAGCTCTCCCTTTGGCTACACTAGCCCCCTTTTGACAATCTGCTTCCTACTTATGCTGATCTGCACCCACTCAGATTCAGCTATAACAAAACCCTGTATCAGCTGTAATCTCAAGCATTTACAATGTAGAGCCGACAGCCATCCAGTCACATAGCCCTATAGTCCCTGGGGTGTCTGAGATCCCGAGGGTGAAGTATGGTAGTACGCTGCATCCCACAGGACCAGCTTGTTTGGCAGGGCAGTGTGTCCCGTCTGCTTCACAGCCTGCCGAGGGAGGCTGGAGCAGCTCGAGAAGGGCGAGGGCCCGCTAGGACGTGCAGGCCCAAGACGACGGTTCGCACGAATTGCTCCGAATGTGTCCTTGCCGTCAACGTCGGCCTTCGGCACCTGCACAGCCTAGAGGCACCCGTC